ATGAGGCACCTACAGCTTCTCTGGGCAGCCTGTGCCAGCACCTCACCACCGTCTGAGTAAAGAATTTATTTCTAGTCTCTAATATAGGTCTCCTCTCTTTTAATTTAAAACCATTCCCCATTGCCCTATCACTGTTTGTCCAGATGAAAAGCCAGGCTCCCTCCTGTTTATAAACTCCCCTCAAGTACTGGCAGGCTGCAATTAGGTCTCCCCAGGGCCTTCTCTAAGTTGAACAAGCCCAGCTGCCTCAGACTGTCTCCATACGAGATGTTCTCCAGCCTTCTGATCATCTTTGTAGCCTTCCTCTGGACCTGCTCTAGCAGCTCCACATCTTTTTTGTGCTGGGATCCTTGTGGACCTGGGTGCAGTACTCCTGGGAGGGCCTCATGAGAACAGAGCAGAAGAGGAAAATCACCTCACTCTCCCTTCTGGCCACCTCTCTTTTGACACAGCCCAGTATACAATTGGTCTACTGGTCTGCAAGAACACACTGATAGATCATGTCCAGCTTCTTGTTTGACAGAACCTGCAACTACTTCTTCTCTGTGGGGCTACTCTCAGTAAGCTCTTTTCTTGTTCTGTAGACATATATGGAATTGTCCCATACCAAGTGCAGCACTTTTCACTTCGCCTAGTTGAATCTTATTTGGTTCACATGAGCCCACTTCTCAAGCTTGTCCAGGTCCTTGGGGTCATGAACTGTTCTTATTTTGGTCTGCTTGCATATTGATCTAATTTTAATTGTCAATCTAGAGTCTACTCTAATGCTGACTTTCACTTCTAAAATAGTTCCCTGTGGACAGTTGCTTCAAATCTAAGGTAGCTAATGCATCGTTAAGTCAGCATGAATCCACACTAAAACAAAGCAGGGTGATGAAATGTTTGAGAACAGATCTTCAAATGCTGGCACCAAACTGCTGCAGGGAAAAATTCTGTTTATTGCTTGTGTCAAAGTAGCGTTCAAAATAAGCCCAGATCTTTCCATATCTTCCCCTGGCATTAGCAGTGCCATTCAGAACTTCCTGCCTCAGCTATTCAATGTGGTCAACGTCCTTCTTTTCCATTTGTTGTCTGGAAGGGGAGAATATATACTGTGGAAATCAATTGAGAGAGTCATTTTAGACAGGTAATTTTAGTCTGCCCATGAATTACTTCAAGGTTTGACAGCGTTGCACAAAGAAAGGTGTCTATTCTAGAGATTTGGAGAGTTTGTTACCCATGCTGTTATTAAAGAATTTAACTGAGAGGTTATCTGAAGGGATCTCAGTGTAAGGATTAGATTTTTCAGCTCTATGTGCTTAGAGAAGTCTCTTACAAAGAGCTTTTCTTCATCTAAGTCTTTTACATTTCTAAAGAAATGTTGACTTGTATTTCTCTTCGTAATTCTTGTATTTTTCCTTCTTTCCCTTTCTCTTTATTTGCATCTAATGTAGATGTGTATCTCTAGGTTGTATTTAAAGGCACATGTATCACGTACCTACGTGGAAAGTTTTTCACAAGCTTTATATATTTATAAATTCTGCAGAGCCCCTTTTTCAGGTCTATTTAAAAAATGCATCCTGAGTAAACCAGTATCTTCCAGCTTCCGTTGGTTCAACCTTCGTTCAGACTTCTCTGGGTATCGTAGAATTTCTAAGAATGGCCTGGATTGAACAGGATCTCAAGGATCATCTAGTTTCAACCTGCCTGTCATGGGCAGGGTCACCAACCACCAGACCAGGCTAGCCAAGCCACATCCAGCCTAGCCTTGAATGTCAGTAGCTCAGGTTTTGCATATATCAGGGCTCAGTTTTTATTCCCTCTCCTCATAATTATTATAAATAGGAGAAGATGAGAATTGTCATCACGGCTTTTGTTGCTGTCTTAGCTGTTAGGTTAATACTTGAGCTGGGAGCACACAGATATCAGAACAGTCCTCACATGATGGCAATTTGGAGATGCCCTTATTTGAGCAGAACTTGACAAACTGAATAAGAAATGAAAAGTTTCTTTGTTCCTTGATTCCTTCACTTCTCTCCTGCTTCAGTGTTAAATTTAGGCAGTGTATGCAACTCAGTATTTCCTACTAGTAGTGCAATGAAGGTTCTGTATGTAAGAAACAGAGAAAGAACATGTTTTTTCCCGCACATCTATTTTCACAAGGGAGGAGGTGCAGCACTGGAAGAGGTTACCCAGAAACCTTAAGTAGTCTCTGTCCCCAAGGATTTTCAGGTCTCGTCTTAGAGAAATCATGGCTGACCAGGTGCAGTGTTGGCGACAGCTATGCTTCAAGCAGAGAGCTCACTGAGTGACCTCCAGCACACCTTTTTAACCAACATATTTGTGATTCTAAGTCAGAACACATAAATGAGCTACTGATATAAAAAAATGGAAAAATGAAAAAATGATTGGCTCACAAAGCTCCTGTTGTCTGAGGTCCCTTCCAACCAAAGCCATCCTATGATTCTATGATTCTATGATTCTCTGTCTTAGAAACTAATGGGAATGTATAAGAATCCATTCTCAGACATACTGTCGTAGAATCTTAGAGTGGTTTCAGTTGGAAAGGACCTTTTACATCATCTAATTTCACCCCCTGCTATCAGCAGGGACACCTCCCACTAGAGCAGGTTGCTCACAGCCCCATTCAGCCTGGCCTTGAACGCCTCAAGGGAGGCAGCATCCACAACCTCACTGGGCAACATGTTCCAGTGTCTCACCACCCTTCCAGTAAAGAATTTCTTCCTAATATCTGGTCTAAATTTACTCTCTTTCCTATAGGCCATTCTGGTCTTTAGATTCCCAGCTCTCAGCCTGTCTTGGTAGAGGAGCAGCTTCAGCCCTTTGACCGTTTTCATGGCCCTCCTCTGGACCTGCTCCAACAGCTCGATGCCCTACTTGTGTTGGGGGACCTAGAATTGGATGCAGTACTCCAATTGGGGTGTCATGAGAGCAGAGTAGAGGGGCAGAATCGCTTCCCTCGACCTGCTGCATTTAAGAATAGTAAGTATGGTCACCAGGACAGCTCCTTGTAATCCAAAGGCCTGAAGATGCTTACTTTGCTGGTCTCAGTTCCTGCCTTGTTGGTAATGTTGGTAGTGCTTATCTTTTAGACTGAAAACGCCACCTGAAGCCTTTATTCTCCAGATTAGCTGACACTACATCAAAATTGAAACACTGTATCCATTAACTAGAGTCTGAGTTTAGGTGTGGCAGTATCTGTTTTCCAGCAAAGACTTGAGGATACCAATACTGTTACATCACAGGTGAAAATGCTCTAGGATGACTATGGAAACCCTTTGATTTCTGTATATATGGCTGTGGGACTTTCCTCAGCATCAGCATCCTGCTGAGAGCAAACACTGTAACTGGATTGTATGTGTACATAGGTCATAGGTGCAGCCCATTGAAAAACCCCTTTCTGGAAGGAGCCAATGAGAACAAGCATCAACTGCCTTGTGCAAATGTTTTTTTGCAATCTGCTGTTGTGTGTGCAGTTGGTAAAGCTGAAATCAGCACGAAGGAGCATCGGGTTCTGCTCCTGTCGCACTTTCCCACCTGAGTGCCAGGCATCTCCCTCTTCTGGGGAATTCTGTGCTTGATCTCCATCTCATAAACTTCGGAGCTCGCAATGGGATCCTGTGTGAAACAGCTGTGTGGATACATGGCAGCTATCGTTTTCCATTTGTCTGACACCGTGTACAGTTTCGTGTAGAAAGCTGGGAGCGTAGCGTTGCAAGGTGGTGGCCGAGTTTTGCAAACAAAGGAGGTGGAGGACTCTGTGCCACCTGCTCTGTCATTTCAACAAATGCCAGGAGCCAAACAAGCTACAAACCGCTAGCTGCGTTTGTTGAATGGGAACTCTATGCAGCAGCAATTCCATCGATCATCAAGGTCAGCTTTTTTGCTTTTGTTTCTCAAGCTAACCAGTGCCTCAATCCCACGCTCCTATGGGCAAGATGGTGAAGCAGCCAAGGATGTTAACTGCTCAGTGCCCTGACAGAGCACAGCACTGCGGAGCTGCGCATTCCTGTTGGGGACGGCCTGGGGTGTCCAGCTTTGACTACGTTTAACAGCATGCCACAACACCTCCACAGGGATTGGCAGGCAATACTGTTTGCTTATTGACTTGGACTGAAAGCCTTGGAGTCAGCAACGTTAGGAAAGCGATGTCAATGACTGCAAACCAGGCAGAGCCCTTTGCGCCCATAAATGAGGAAAAAAACCCTTTCTTCTCACTTTTTTGTGATTATTTTGAGGGATAGCACTTTTTCTAAAATCACTGATTGTGGACATGATGAATGCCCCTCTGTTCCTCACCATAGTCGGTCTTGAGTGTGAGGCTGAGCGAGAAAAGGAACGGTCTTGGCAAACAGCTTTTTAGTCTCCAATAAATTATTCAGAACGCAGGTTTGGGCACAGATTGTGGGGAACGATAATGGAGCTGGTTTTCAGAGCCTGTTCATGTTATGAAGACATGGAGTATGCTTTTCAGGAATTCACTTAAGTGGAATCAGCTTTGCATAACGTAGCCTGGAAGTAATATTGCTGCCATCCAGCTAGTGTCTGCGGAACAGCATTCTCCTGCCTCGCAAAGCTCTGGTGTTGAAGACAAGAGATAGGGAGATATTTATTTTTGTGAGGTTTTTTTTTTTTTTTTTTTTCTTTTAAAGGGAAATTCTTTCTAACCGCTAGAGAGGGACATGTTTCGGTCGAGATTTTTCCCCCCCCGAGTGAAATAGTGGACCGCATCAGCATCCGATTTGGGTGCGTCATGTGGTTTCTCATGTGATGCTGGTCTCGCTGCGCTTTGGAGGGTGAGCCTTTGTGACTCCACTCTTGGACAGTAACATCCAGCAACACAGGAGATTTTGGGGAGGAGGGGGGGAAGATACCCCCCTAGGAAAACCCCTAAAGCCCAGAAAATAAAGTTACAGCCCTTTATTATAGTCATGATTTCTTCTTAACTATTTTGGCTTCTATTTTTAATTCTGGGTCTTCCCTCTTCTCCGTTCCTGCAGGCACGAAGCTGCACTGTTCAGAAGAAGCAAGATTCTTTCCTCACAGCTACGGCACTGCGACACAGCCTGCTTTTTCGCATTTACCTGGGTGGCTGCTGCTGGTTCTGCTGCTGCTGCAGCCTCGCTGCCTGCACTTCACCCCAGCTTGGCTGATGCGAGTCTCCCTCATCTGCACATCGCTAAGGAAGAGAAGCGATGGAGCCGCAATTTTTCTGTTGGTTCTGGAAGCAAAGGGTTGTGATGTGGGGTGGTTTGGGGGTTTTGTTTTTTTTGGTGGGGAGAAAAAGAAGGGATGTTAATCTAGGGTGGAATGGGTAAAAGCTTAAAGAAATATGATGAAAAGTAATCCAGTGCTCAACAAGGGCATCAGCAGCAAGAATCCAGCCTCTGCTGCTCCAGAGGATTAAGATGGGGAAAGCCACAGAGCTGCAGTCGAGTTGCACCTCAGCGTTGTGCTGGAGATGGATAAACAAGGTATTGGTCGTATCTGCCTGCTGAGGCACAGCCACGGGAGGAAGAGCGAGCGAGAGAGTGCGTGCAAATGCAGTGGAAGAAGAAACGCTGCGTGCTGTTTGTCTGATTCTGTGCATTCTCAATGTGGAGAGGATGGGGTGATTAAGAAAGCAATGTATGGATGGAGGCACTGTGAATTGTAGCTCGAACACTCCTGATGCTGTCAGGGAGGGAACTGATGAGCTAGGTGGCTGCAGCAATATCCCCAGGGAAAACAGCGGCCATGCTGTGTATGTATGTGCTTATGTATGTGTGTGCTTATGCGTGTGGGAGCATGTACAGGCATGAAAGAAAGACATTTCTGACCAATTTACAGAGGAAGCTTGTCACTTTGATGGTCAGACTTGATTGCAGCTTGTATTTTCAGCTCTAGCTCTACACCCAATTCCTGAGTGAGGCGGCACTTTGCGAATGCAGATGTAGGCAGAATTCTTATAAGAAATGTGAAAGCAGATCCTTTCCATTTAACACCTTGGAGCACTGAATCTTCTGCACTGTGTTGAGAGAAGCTAAGGGGAGGGGGTCATTTTTTCTATCTTAAAATCTTTACAGACACAGCTATATTCAGTGCGGCAAAAAATTCTATGCTGTAATAGAAATGTGATCAATCTAATCAAAATAAATGCATCCCAGATGACCTCTAGACCAGCTGGCTACCACAGTCATCAGATGGCTAAATGCTCAACTGAGCATTTATAGTCAGCATTATATTTCTTTTTCTTTTTTTTTTTTTTTTTAAATTTAGAATTTTAAAATCAGCCTCTGATTAAAATGATTATTTCTCTATTGAAAATAGACAGCAGTTAGCAGCAGATTTTTCTGAAATGTACCTGTTTATTTTTTGCCATTGTAATTTGATTGCATTGAGCTCTTTTTGTTTATCTGTTTGGTTTATATTTCTTTGCATGCATTGAGGAGACTTGTGTTTTTAGAACAGGGAGACTAGTCACAGTGCTTGGCATACTGAGATCAGCTGGCAGCTCGGGTTGCCCGTATCTGAACAATGCAAAAATAGGGAAAACAAGTACTGCAGTCAGCTAGTGGGGCTTGGCATGGCTGTTAGCAGCTGCCTACTGAGAAAGAGGGGTTTTTTTTCTCCCTTTATTTTTCCCTTTTCTACAAATCCGTAGACCGTAATGTCATCCTAAACCGCATACGAGGGGATTTCCCAATAGTCATGGTGAGCTACCCTGCAAGATGCCTGTCTGGCCCTTCCACTGTTACCCTGTCTACAAAGGCTGCCCTGTGTGTTGGATTATATTTAGCCAGCTGCTGGGTAACATTCTTGTGCTGGGGGCAAAGGAGTCTTATTACTCCCATACTGTAGTTTTGTGTTTTCTTAAAGAAAAATGACCTTGGCAATACAGCAGGATCTGAAAAGAAGCATATACCACTCCTGCACCTTTCTGAAACTGCTGCGCTTTTAACTCAGGCTGTTCTAAAGCAAACGAGCAGGAGGAAGAGTGGCTTTTAGCTCATAGCTTCAAAGCTGCAAAATGTCAGCAGCTTGTAATTAGGAGCCCGTGGTTACGTCAGGGACTGTATCTCTCCAAGAATAGCTGTGTGATGTGTGCCACAAAGCAAAGGAAGGCAGTCATAACCTGATTCTTGAGCCTGCTTCGAACAAGAGAGCGAAATGGATTAATGAATCGGCTGCATTTGTAACTGAGAGCTGGTTGGATTACATGTATAAGACTGGCTGCACTCTGCAAAAGAGAAAACTGACTTATCAGTTTGTCAGAGGGCACACGTTCACCGGCTGGAAGTGTGAATCCTTCGGAAGAAATGCAGACGAGCCATCTGTCCTAGAAAATGTCATTCCTGTCTCCATCTTGCACAGGCAGCTGCGTGCCACGAGGCATGGGAGGGAGCGACCGGCCAGACACACCGAGGTGTTTAAAAGCACGCGTAAAATTAAACACAAAGCCAGCACACCAAAACTCAGCTCTGGCATTGCAGATTTGATGCTGAAATACCACCCCAGTGCAGACCTACTGCGGTCAGGTGTGGTTTCTATTAAGGCTCCTCCGGCTAAGGGACGGTGCAAAAAACGGCTTAGCGCAACATCTTGCAACCAAACGTGGTCCTGTTGGTGCACTGGGAATGCAGCAGCTTAGGGCTGCCTGCTCTGCAGGGACGTGCCTGGAGCTTTCTGACCCCTGCTGTTGTTTTTCGATCTGGGCTGGCGGCTCTGCAGCACTTAAGCGGTGAGATTGCAGGGGTGCTTACCCTGCTCTGACCGGCCTTTCCCCGTGCTGTGGCTGGAGATGTTTACATGGCTTTTATCGACAGCCCTTCGCCAGTCACTGTGCGTTGCTGCCTGTTTCTGGAAGCCTGGCGTGGATCCCTGGTCCCAGCACAAGTCAGCTGCAGTTCTACTCTTTGTGCCACTCTTTAATTTACCAGGATATGTAGATTGTATTATGCAAACAGTGGTTGTGGGTTCTGTTGTTTTTTTTTTTCTTTTTTTTTTTCCTGTCCGTGAACACAAATTTGTAGGAGGAGATGACTCTGTATATTAAACCAATAGCTCTTTGAATTGTGTGTAGTATAATTTAAATATACTTACTTTAATTAGTAGCAGCTTACAAAAGCCAGCATTGTCTGGGGCTGTTTAATTTACATCGCGGCCTCTGTCAATGAGCACAACCTGCCTGAACAGAATGGCGTATTCTGCGCAGCCGGCAGGGTGGAAGGCGTTACTTTGTTTGTGTTCCTTCCAACAGCTGGTCATTAATGCAGGCCCCATCTCCAGAGTGAAGTGCTGGTGGACATGAATGGCCGCCTGATTAATGCTGCCCCTCGACGGCTCCTTCCTCCAGCAGCGATGCTCGCAGCGGAATAATGCAGCGTGATTTGATTGCGCTCTAACAGGGCAGTATGTCATTGTGTCACCAAGCAATTGAGGTTATTATGGGGCAGGGCAGACAGACGGGACAGTGGGGTTACTAGACCGTGGCATTTTTAGAAATGCAGGCCTGACCTACTTAGAGTTATTCTTGCTGGCTGGCAGCTGCATGGTGCATGGCTTGTCCTGATAGGCTGAGGCTGTTGCTAGGGGGAATTAGCATGAATTTTTCCACATACAGACTCAGTGATTGAATGATAAAAGCTGACTGGAATTAAAGAGATTCGGTTCAGTATTATGCAGATTTATCTCCCTTGGTTTTTGTTGTGTTTTTTTTTTTTTTTTTCCCTCTCTCAAATGCATAAAAAGGAGAAGACAGTTTGTTTCCATTCATTTTTGACCTATTTTTTTTCCAGAGGAGGGCAGAAGCACTGTGAATTTTTGATCATTTACTATTTAAGTCGTTGAAATGGTATGACAGTGGGCATGCATCTTTAATGTATAGGAAATTCAAATTCCTTCTCTGCAGAAGGGAATGAAATGAATATGGTAATATAGTTTATACTCTGGTCAGACCATCGCCTTATTTTTTATTTTATTTTTTTTCTATTTGAAGCTATGTCAGATTCTCTCATCTGGAAAGGGGAAACGTACACCAGGTTTTCTTGCATAACATCACTCTTGGCTATTTTTAGCTATCTGCACTTCACAAAATTAGTCCTGTGTTTGTGCTGCTGGATGAATCCCCACACTGTGCCTCCTGTACGCACAGACATGCACCCAGGATGTGCTGAAGAGTGCCGTGTTCATCTGAAAAGATGCGCACACGCTGCGGACACAGCAGCTCTGCCTGCTGGCGGAGAGCTGACGGCTGGCCTTTAAGCTGATTGATTAGATAGCCTCACGTGCATTTTGAAGTATTTTTCCAGCTTGAAGTTGAGATTCTCCTAATAGCCCTTTTTTATTTATCTACATCTGTTTAAAACAGTCATGTTTTTTCAGAGAATTCAGTGTTCCCTCTGGAAGCAAATAAAAACAATACTCAGTGAAGACTTCTTTGATGTAATTATGAATATTTCCTTTGTTATTGTCACTAATTATAAGATATCTTTGTCCAAACCACAGTGCCCCCTGTGTGATCGTTTACCATGCAAAGGACTTACAATTTAGTGCTTATGATTTTAGAACGGTTTTCATGGCAACACCTCCTGACATCACATTCAAAGAATTGTGACTTCCCAGTAGCTGGGAATGGGGGAGAGGGACTCTGAAAGTCTTTGTATTTGCCAAATGAGTGTGTGACTCATTGCTGAAAAGTGTGAGCTCCTTCAAGTTTCATGTGAAATACCTGGATGAATGAGACACTTCTCAGAGCAGTGTCTGTCTGGATGGCCAGCAATACCCCTGCAGTTTCCTGGCCCCCTGCCTCAGCTCGTGAAGTTTTCTCTGGAAGGTGAAGCAGTTAAACATGGAGACATACATCTGAGTGCATTTTGTGGCCTAGGCAAAAGCATTTGTTTTATACAGATTTGAATTTCCTGCGTCTCTTTTCCTGTTTGTCATTTACTACTGAAGCACATAGCTCTTCCCCGTCTCTTTCTTCCTGACAGCTTTGCGGATTTACAGACATATAGAGGCATGAAAGTGAAGAGAGGCATTATTGGAAACCGTCAGGTTGCTCCTGCTGTCTGTGTTCTTACCATCTGTCCAGATGTAACTCTTGAAAGTGTAACTGTGATGCAGGTTCTGCTTCCCACAGCAGGAACCACTCCTCCCAGTGGTGTTCTGATCAAAGCCCTATTTTTTGATCTGCTTTCTTGCGGGATGTTGTCCGTAGCTTTGACTTTGCACCTAGGCTACCATTTTTCCTTTGGCATGTCTTCTAAACCTTCCTAGATGCTGTGTTTTCTGCTGTTTCCCCTCATGCTCCCACTTGCATTCCATGTGATAAACCTGTTCTAGTGATGAGAGAGAAGGATCAGGTCATGGAGAAGTTTGCTTTTGAGAAGGTAGGCAATGGACAGGCTTTGTGTGCAGCTGTCAAAGTTCTCAACCTCACTGGATGTAGCCAATCATAGCTTCACCCAGTTGACTTGCAACATCAGCTAACTTGGACTTCAGCAAATCAAAACTACCATGCAGTATTACATTCATTTCAGCAGAAACCTCTTTTTTAGAAAAATGAGATGAGTGTCATCTTATTTTGGCATATTCATGCTAAGAAAGAGCCCAGAGGAAGGCAAGAAACAATATTAAGCATGTACTCTACAGAAAAGAATTATATCCCTGATATTTGTTTGGGATTTCAGCACAGTGAATGTTTATAACAAACATCAAGTCAGTCAGTTTGAACAAACTGTCAAGTGACATATTAAATATGAAAAATGCAGTGCACCAGAAATTGTACTCAACATTAGGTTACTATTCCGCATGTCTCCTTAATGGAAATTATTCCAAATAAATTAATGTGTGAATTGTCTGATCATAATGCCTGGGATAATTATAAGTAGCAAAAATGCGGAGTTAATGAAACAGAAAAAAAATCTAGCTCTCTCTATGTATGTGTTTATAAAGCATAAGAATCAGGGCACCAGAGGAGTTTGAAATGTATGTCTGTTGAAAACACAGTCAATTGTGTACATTCCTTTGAAAAACATGTTAAGAATTTTCTGATTGTCTCCTCTGAGGTTTCTATTGTTGTAACAACTCACACCTCCCACCCCGAAGTTGCTTACCTACAAAAGATTGTGTTGCATTGTTCAGCATTCTTGTACCGTGACCTCTCCTGTGAGCTGTGAAAGATCTATTGTGCTGCTTTTCATGCTCTAGGGTGGCTAAGCAAGTGCTGATTTACAAGTAGCACATGCAGACAATTTTTTCTTCCAATCAAGGATCCAAAATCCTGCCCCTATTTGAGTTGGCTGTGGTGGTCAGTGTACTCTTCACCCAGGAGTGTTGGCTGGTTGTGCACTGTGTGCATTTTGTGATGTCATTGCAGCTTTCTGTTTTTCTGGAAAGGAGCAGAGGATGCAGGAAATAGAATGGCTAGATTCCCATGAAAGGATAATGGCAGCAAAGAGTGAGCTCACTCCCAGCCTTCACCTCCTGCCAGGACCATAAAGATCAGTTTTGCTGCAGCAAATTTGTTTTGGTTCCAATTTCAAACCCAAAGTAGGAGGAAGTGTATTATATTTCTTAAAAAGTGGCAGTTGGCACATTCCTTCTACTGCAATACGGGAGGGAATACAAATGTTTTACAAATTAAAATAATCCTTACAATATTTTTTTTCCTGTGATCCACTAAGATGGAAACAAATTCTGTAACATTACCTTCAGCCAGGAGCAGCATTATTGTGGCTCCCGAAATCATGTTTTTCCTGCCTGTGTGCGCCTATATACTTGGATATACTGTATGCATACCGTGTGCATGTGTGTATAAAAGACATAGACAATTTACACAAGTGCAGTACTAGGCATACATTATAGTGTATAATCACAATTGCCTCAGATTAATACCAGAACTGTGCTTCCAGGTGTTTGGTGCTGGCTTGTTTATGGTAATAGCATCTTGTCATACAATTCGTGCCATTTCAACACACAGCATAACCATCACATTAATCCTGTCATCCCATTCACCACCACCACCAACAAATGATGCTGTGTAATGGAAAGATAACAAAAAGGGGACATTGTGGTGAAAATTAGTGTGTAACTAGGTAGATGGGTTTCATAACCACTTTTCAGTTTTTGCAGTCACAAATGATGTAAAATGAAATGCTTGATGGCTGTTTAAGACAGAGAGGCATTTTTTTTTTCTTATTGTTAATTCTTCCCTCCTGCTTTTAGTTCACACCTGCTTCAAAAGTTAATCCAGACTTAAATCTTGACAGAGATCATGACCCTACTTCAACCAATGGCTGTTTTATCTTGGCATTCAGTGGGACCAGGTATCTGGTCTTTGTATTTTCAGCTGAACATATCTTTTTCTCTCTTCTCACTCCAAAGTGTAGTATTTCTATTTTTAAGTTTTCTTTCTTCTTTTTCTCTAAACATTCCTTGAACACTTAAATCTTCAAGCAACATACCATAAATTTGCCCTTGAGTATGAGAAAATGAGAGGAAGTAACACTTCCCTACTGAGTAGATAAGGTTGCATTGGGGTTAGTCTTCACAGCTGTATGTTTTCATATACTTGTTTTCATCATGAAATATCTTTTGTTCTGATGAAATGAAACAGCAAGTGAAACAAAACCAAAAAAAAAAAACAAAAAACAAACCCCCCAAAAAAAGAATGAATCCAGGCTGTAACAGTCTGTGGAAACTCAGAGAATAAGGTGGTTGTGTCTTGACCTAGAAAGATAGGGCCCAGAATTGCAGAAGCAGAAAAAAAAGTAGTCTTTAAAAGGAAATGCTTTCTAGCTCTCTAGTGACTTATTCTGTTATCATCATTGAAGTTAACAATGGATTCCTTCCTTTTTTTTTTTTTAAACTTTGATGTTGCATAAATAAAACACTCATATCCACATCCAACAAAAATATTGATTTGGAGGTAGGTATGCCACATAGTTGTGTCTAGAATTTTCTGAGTTTTTGTTATAAGCCTGACAGATACAGTAATTAGGCTTTTCCAAGGTAAAAAATGATTGGATGCCTCTAAGTTGAAAGCATTTGAAAAATGGCAGCCAGTGGATGGCTGTTGATGATAGATTTTTGTCCTCTGTTATGCTACTTGGAGAACCCAGGTTGAACAGAGGAGGCGGCATTGCGCTGCAAACTTGGTTTGGTGAAGGTTGAAACATGGCTGATGAATCTTTGTGTAAATCTCCTGTTCGTGACCTGTAATAATGGCAGTATATTATGGCTCTCACTTACAGTTCTTGCATGCATGCACGAGAATACATACACACCATTTTAGCTGAACTGAATTGTTAGTGCAGTCATCTCCACCTAACTGAACTGTTAGGGGCTGAGCTTTTCTTATTACTCCTATGAAACTCAAACCTGCAGTTGTTTATAACTCACTGGTGAGACCACAAGCTCATTGGCTCTCCAAAGACTGGTAAGGTTGTGTCCCTTTCCCCCTACCTTTGGCTTAACTCCGTGCACGTGAGCTTTATGTACCCATTCTTTTTGTGGGGGAGCCGAGATTTTGGTGCATATCAGAGCCTTATTTCCTCCACTTCAGTCAAGTTTCTTCTTGTTTATAGCAAGTATTTTCTGTTAACAGCCAGTGAATAGCACACTTGTCTTGCACTTGGACTTGTCTCAGATCTTCTGGCATTACACTGACTATTCCTAATATTTTTGTGGTACTGGAGAGACACTTACAATAAATAAATAGCCTCCCATGGTGTCTCTGTTTGTAGTGTCAGTTCGTATTTAGTATGTTAGCTGAACATGAGAACAAAATGGAAGAGACAAATACTAACCACTGCCTTCCAAGATATTTTCCCCTTTTTATGAGAGTAATCTTATTTCTTTTAGAAGAAACAAGTAAATGCCACGCCGAGGGGCCCAAGCAGGCAGGTGATCTTTGATTTCACAAAGCAGATTCTCATGCTATGATGCATTCACAAGGAGCAGGATGGGAAAATAATGCTGTGCAGTACGACTTGCTTGTCTGTTTTCAGAGTAGATCATCTGAAATCTAAGCCATGGGACCAAGTGAAAGCTGAGACTGGTGGTTTGGTTGGAGAGTTGTAAGAACTGGGGCACGATACCTGCTTGTCCAGTTTTCCAAAGGGATTTTCCAAAGTTTCACATGTTGCCTTCTTTGCTCAATCATAGTGCTGAACTGAAAACACTGTTTTCAGTTCGATGATGGTGTTTGTAAGGAGAGGTAAAGAGGTAATAACCTTATTCAAACCACCTCTCTCCCTTGGCTTTTTGATAGCCTTAGGCAGTCCTGGCTCCCTCATGTTCTGTGATTGTTGTTGACTCTAATGGTAGTTCAAAACATGCAAAATAATCAGAAGCCAGACAGGATTTCGGAGCAATGGTGTTCCATAGTTTAAGATTTCTATATGGGTCAATCATTTCTAATACACAGAAAGCTAGAAGAAATCTCAGGCAGTGAATTTTTGGCTGTGCTCCAGTGTTGCATAATGATGGAGACCATCAGTTATACTCTATAACCATCAGTTATACTCTAGGCTTGTTGCAACTGCTGGCTTGCAACACTGCGAATCACATTGGAAGGAGACAAAACAGAAGAAAAAGAACACTGATTTCTCAGGGAGAAAAATCACTTTACTAAGTATGGTGTCGTGTTTTGTTTCACCTTTAATGAGCCAGCTTAAAGATCCCTTGTATGTTTATAATGCATACCAGTATTCATTGGTATTTGTTTTAATACCTTATATTACCACAGAATCACAGAATTGTAGGGATTGGAAGGGACCTCTAGAGATCATCGAGTCCAACCCCCAGAACTTCTTTTGTGCCCTGAACTTTGTGCTGTAGACTAAAAAGTGGACTTATGCATCCAGAATGCTGAACATGTGCCTCCTGAAAAATGTTTGTGTTTTAAGATGGTATAAATGTACACTTTGACATACTAGCAGATCTGATAAGCTTTGAGAGAAAATAGCATCATCTGCTGCTATTACATGAGGAACTGGTGTGTTATTGAAGAGAAGTCATTCCATAGTATCCATAATACTTTGGCGGCTATGGTTGCTTAGATGAAGGAATCAAACTTCAGTGAAACAAATTGAGCATAGTCATAAATGGAAATTCAGTAATAAATGTCCCTGTGGAACACAGACTGCCCACAAAAGCATTTTATTGCTTAATTCACAGGGTGAAAGGATACATTTGTTTTCAAATATAGTTGTTAGTTGTAAAAGCTGTGGCTTGGGACAAAGAAGTTGTTTTTTTGGTGAAATGTGTGTATAATCTTTCATACACATTCATTGTGTTTTAAGCCCCAAGGTCAGAATTCAGAACCTGGCAATTCCTGTAAGAATGAGAAACTGATGATAGAAATGAAATGTATTTTTGGGGCAGTTTTGCAGCCATGTGCTTTATTTTACAGAGCAAGTATGCAATTTTACTTTGACAAACACAGGCAAAAGTCACCGGAGCTTTTCCTTCTTTCCCCCCCACCCCTTTCTTTCCCTTTTTCTCTCTTTTTTTTTTTCCCTTTCTTTCTTATTTTTCCAAATGATTATACCTGCAAATAGCATTCAAAAAAGGTTTCATCCTCCCAATGTCAGTACACAGCATTCCTCTTTGCTCTCACATTCCCTTTACTTGCATTATCCCAGATCATCTTTCTCTATTTGTCTACAATTAGGAAAACAAACCAAACCAAACCAAAACAAACAAAAAAAGAAAAAAACCCAACAACAAAACACCCATCCTTTAGATTCAGCTCTACACAGTCCCCAAGCATTCTGTTCTGCACTGAACATCTTGGACTGTCACTCCTATTGTGTGCTAATGTTTTAAACACCTGGTTGCCCCTGTTTTTGAGCCATAAAGTCTTAATGTATGTGCCTGCTTCCATGAAGCCTGTGAAGACTGTTTCTTGATTCATCCTTTCCTTATACCTGTTAGAGTTTGCATCGTATCCATATACACACATACCCATATTTTAGAAAGGATGGAGCTGCTTTTTGTCGCTCCTTAATCCTTTGTCAAAGGGCAGAAAACACAGTGTTTTTCTGTGTGAGCTGGATGGACATCAGAGATTCTTCTCTTTCTTTGGGCCCCACTGCTTTGAAACATTTTAAAGAGCTGGAAAGGGTGTAGTTATAGCTTTAAAACAATGAACTTTGCACATTACTGCAATAAATGGTTCTCCTTTTTATTCTGTGGTCCAGGTTGAGATAATACACAGAAGTAAAAAAAAAAAAAAAAAGTCTGGATGTCTTTTAATTTATTGTCTCCTGACTTTTTTTCCTCCCTGTAATTTATTTTTGGAGTCTGGGAAGAAAAGCATGCCAAAAAGGCCCAGTGTATTGATGTGTGAAATTGAAGGAGTTGATGATTCTTATGATCCGCACACCATGCCCTTTGACAAGGTTAACATAAAAAGAATCATACTGGAAAACACACACTTAAATATGAAGAATTCCTTAAATTCAGGGTGTGTTCATACAAAGGGAAATTTTTACAGTGTGGAAAGCATTAAACCTGATCCAGAAAAAATGTTAGGTGCCCCAGCCATTGAGATGTGAATCTCTTTAATCCATGCAAGCATTAGAAAAATCTGAAACACGTGAAAGTTCAAAAGCTGCAAAGCCATTACATGACTCCTTATTCATTTCTCAAATATTGTGACTTTCTATTGAACTGTGAAAAGGCTTCTTCTTGTATTTTTTTTTCTTCCCTTTTCGTAAGCAATATATCAGTCACTCAGTGATGTGTTATTCCACATTGTGAAGCTGAAAGTGAGTTTTGTTTAGTTGTGCCTACTTGGGTATAAATCTTTGATTTATTTCAGAGCGTTTATGTAGCATTTCAGAACTTGGTCACTTGCACCTTTTCAGCATTTGCTGTTGAAGAAGGGGAAAAAAGCAAGAATTAGTAGAATGTCAGTGTGTTTTTTTTTAAGATGTCTTAGATTTTGCTGAGACAAGCTAGAGATTGCTGCTACGGAGCAGTGTCTGAAAAATGTCTTTTTATGTAGGACAACAAAATTAAGGGAGAGCAGAAGGTTTCACATTAGTTTGTGAAAATGGAAACTTATTTTTATCAGTGAAACTCCTGTGAGAAGATCATGTAGTGACAGAGAGCCATTGGTGCTGGGTTTTTTGTTTTGTTTTTTTTGTTTTTTTTTTAATGATAGCAACTGCAGAATCTGATGGAGACTTCTCATGTCTCTCCTCCTCCCCATACTCCATCCCCCTTCACCCTCAAAAAAAGAAGTCTTAAAAAGACAGAGAGGCCTGTCTTCTACATGAAAATAGCTGTCAACCTGAATTTCACTGACTTGCCAGAAGATGTATCAAAGAGTGGAGGTAATTTCTCAGCTAATTTCTGTGTCTCCTGAGAAGACCACACTCTCAAGTGATGGACATCATTTAGAGTTTGTAACCTAAAGAAAACAAATGACTCAGACCGCTGCCGTGGCCCAAAGAGCTTAAAAGTAAATATGAGATAAGGACTAGCTGTAGTCATGCTGTCCTCTGCTGCCAAGGCATCGCAGCAAAACAAAGGCTTATTGATCAAAAAGGTCATGCAAAAGAGGATAGGGCTTAAAGAAACTATATTAAATTTTCTTTTTTAAAGAGTTGAATGCAAAAATAGTAACCCAAAGATGGAGTTCTGTGTGTCAGGCATTTCTCACATGCATTCTTTTATTTGTCTGCACAAATAAAGTGAATATCTATAATTCTTTAGTTTCATGGAATGACTTCCTACCATAGTCTTGAAATAGCAAATGTGTCCCTCTGATTTAAATGGAGAATGTGACAGCAGAAAATGCAGTACTGTGCTTGCGTCTTCCACTTGATGCTATTGTGCTCTTCATGTCTAGTAGGGATGTGGAAGGCTGCTCACATATTGTGGTAGGCAGTGGCTACTGATCTATTACTGTGATACGTAATCCTTCTCAAGGATTTGAAGCAAATACCTGATGCTGACTTCATTTCCTAGGTGAAGAAAGCTTTTTTCTTACGTGTCCAGTGAAGGTTGTATGGGAAAGGAAGCAATACTTGCTATCCAGGATCCACAAGTTGTCAAACTTTCGTATCATGAAAAATAGAAACAAAGGACAAATTTCCATTGTGAGACTCCTGGAAAAAGATGATGAAACACAGAGGTTCCTAGTGTCATTGACTGACAACAATCTGCTAAGTGATGTTTATGTTTTAGGGGCAAGGGAAAAAAGAACATTCACTGTGAATGACAACTGCCCGTCTCATGTTGCCATTATCTATGAATAAAGAAAAAAGGCCCATTATGTTATGTCTAACTAGAAAGAAACTTAACAAAGAAACACACTGTTGTGTTAAGGAGAGGAAGGAGAGCTTAGTGGCTAGGGCACGGGAGATGTTGATTCACATTTCTGGCTCTGGAAGAGCTTTCCTCTGTGACCTTGAGCCACTTGTGTATTGCCTCACTCTAAAATGGCAACAGTACCCAAAGCAGGAGAGATATGGGTGCTGGGATGAGAGAAAGACCTTTTGAAAAACTGCCATAAAAATAGGAGCTACATAATTTGGACCCTTTTCATTTATTTATTTTTTCTCTCTCTCTCTTTTTTTTAATTGTTGGGGTAATGTTAAATATTAATACTTTAATATTAATAATAAATAATAAGCCTAGTAATATTAAAACTGGATTTGCTTCTTACAGAATGAGAAGACAGTTTGGGCCACAGTCAGAATTTGATCAAGACTTGGGAATTTTGAAGTTCAAGCTTGTGGGTTAAATGCATCTCTACCCAGAATAAGATTACAGTCTGTGATGAAGTATGTTTTCAATTATGCTCTGTTAGAAAAGTAATGTGAAATTTATCTCAAGTTGTCACGGTGCTTCAAAGCATGGGCTTTTCTCTTTCTAAGTCCTTGAACAAATGCAGGATGTGTTGAGGCAAAACTGTTTCCAATTAAGTTGATGCATAACGCTCTTTAATGTTTCAGGACTTCAAGTTTAACTTAAAGAAAAATCCTTTAGCCGGAGTTCAGAAGGATAATTCAGATAAAATTTCCTGGAAAGCAGTCATTTGCCTGAACTCGTGTGGCTGCACAATGTCGGGAGCTCAGTTAGCACAGTGTGACACTTAGCTATCAATCTCATCAGAACCATGCTGACAAATGGAAGGATCCAACTCTGTGTTACATCACTGCATTTTTATGCTGTATTGAAGAACCAACTTCGGCTCCCTTGTCGAGTAAGGGGCACTTAAAGCACAGACTGCATTAAGAGAAATAAAAGTGATTCCAGGAAGTGGCCGTGCTGTTTGCATCCGCTATAAATTTTTTGTTGCCTTAAGTGTGTGTTGTTCAGAAGAATGAGTTTCTGGTGTTCCAAGGGTTGTTTTTTTCTGCCCAGCTGAAGCATCCCTGTTCATCACTCATCATTCTGTGGAGTGCTAGCCTGAAAACTTATGTCATGCTGAAGATTAACAAGGGATTAAGAGTGAGCAATGGATTTTCCAGGTAAATTCATGTGCATGCACCACGAATTATTTGCTCAGGTTCTGTTCTCTTGCACTTGTTTGTCAGTTTTTGGAGCTGTTGCTGCAGGGATTTCTGAACTACTTTGGCAGTTTTCTCTATGCTCTTCCAAATACCTGCCACCTCCATCCTTGCTCCTCCTGCACAAATGCTTTCCTGCTGAAGCCCAGCCAGTAAGGTTATGTCAAAGTTGAGTTTCACTCATGGATGTTGACTGCTCTGCAATGTCTTGACTGCTCAATTTTCGTTTCCCTCACGGCCAAAGTGAAGTCTGCTTAGAACGTGTATTAAGAACTGGATTTGGCAAAGGTAAAATATATGTGAAAATGATGATAAAATAAATCCTTTCATTTTCATGATGCCAAATAAGCAACAAAAATCACGTGACATAAGAAAAATGCCTGGTTTATCACCTTGGCCAAAATCTTGTCACACGACCATGTTTGGCAGTCAGTGCTGAATGGGTTATGGATAAAGATGGCGCTGAAAGAATCCTTCTAAGTGTTGTCTATGTAGTTGGAAGGAGTCTGTGCAAGTATTCAGTGATGCATTAAGCATTTGTAGGCAGCAATAAGAAAGAATCTTCAAAATTAATGCATATCTTTCCTGAAGATCTGAATATTACTTTAACTTATCATGGCAAAAAGAATCTGTTCTGTGGTAGTCCTTTCCCTACATGATGCAGTGTGCTGTACCTTGTATGGGAAGCTGTGCAGTGACACAGGCTGTAAGAAGAAAAAAGCTTGGATTTTAGATTTCTACTTGCTTTTGATGTGCTTAATACCTGTGTTAACAAATTAGGTCACATAGAAATTGAAATATTGCTTTGGTTATGGATCCAGTTATTTCATTGGCCAGAACCAGGACCTTACTTATGCTTGGTTGTCTTAAAACTAGGTACTTTTAAAAGACTACTTTGAAATCTGGCCCTTGAAAATAAAGGAAAGTACCTAATAAAACGATTAAAACATGTTGTAATTTAAAGCTGTATTCTTATTTAGACTTTTTTCTAGAAAAGTAAAATCAAACCTCTCTTCTATTTAACTTCTTATACTTATTGATCACAAGCTGTTTTAAATAAACTTAGTGACTCAGAAGATGCTGGAAATTCAAGGTATTTTGACATAGCTACTATAGGATAATTGTTCTACTTTAGGGTGATAGTTAGCTTTATTATCCATGGCAAGTGTGCTTTTTCCCTTTTCTGTGCTTGTAACTCTAGCACTATGTTCTGGTCATAGGAAGATGGTATGCTCGTCTCTTGGTATTAACAAAGATGGTATGGTGTTCTCTTAGTAAAAGTAAGAAAACCCAAGAAGATTAACCACAGTGTGATATGGATTTTCCTAGAGTTGGGGATAATGTTATGAATACTCTCATAACAGAAGGAAAAATAGAGGGGGAGAGGGAATTTATTTTCCTTGGGAAAAATACGAAAAGATATCACTCGGAAATCTGGACTGTGGCTAATTTTTGCCTAGCAGGGTTCAAATTTTGCAGTTCTGTGTAGAACTGCATCCTGTTCATCACTTTGAACAATGGAGTGAGTCCTGTCTACTTTCTAAACCATAGCAGAAATACATTTCAGTGATATGTCAAGCTGAGACTATTTGAATGAACAGATTTAGAGAGAGGGGGAAGAGAAGTTAAAAATATCTCAGTGACAGAGGAGCAAAACCATTTGATATAAATGAACAGATGCCTGAATGAAGAAATCTCCTTCTAAACCAATGGATTTAAGACACTTCTGTTGCTTAATGTTTATTCCACTATTTAATTCGCATGCATTGTTATTTACTCTGAGTATCCATTCTATAATTATTCTTAATTTGCTCCTGTAAATGTTATACTAGTTTCCTCCAGGGATGGGGCATCCACAACCTTTATGAAGATGCACTCAACTGTGTATCACTGTGGAGTGCAACTTATTTTTACAATTCCTGTCTTTCAAAAGTCCTTAAACTTATTTAGAGGAGAAATTGCAGCTAGTTTTGTCTGAAAGGTGTTTGTATGACTAGCAAATATGACAGGTAGTGTGACTCAGCTTTAACGTAACAGTGACCTAGATCTTGCTATAGTGGACATTATCACAGTAGTCTTAGTTGAGAACATTTGAATGGTTCAGTTGTGCATAAGTGAGACCTTACACAGTTTATATGGCAGCAAGGAGATCCCTAGTAATCAGAAGTGCTGTGCTTTACTGACATGTGATTTGAGGCAGTTTAAATGTCATCAGCATCTTTTCAAACTTCGAAAAAATAGAATGTATCAGTAAGTGGTATGGATGAGAGGGAGAAGCTATGGATTTTACAGTAGCTTAATTCAATCAAGACCATTTCCAAGAATTGGTGCATGTTTATCATGGCACAAAACAGAGATCAGAGATTCTGCCTGGTCTATCCTTCGTCAGAAAGACAGAGCTGTGAACCTTCTTTGATTAACTGACATCATACACTTTTACCCATCTGCTGATTGCTGCTTATTTATACCAATTTGATCTTAAGCATGTTTAGACAGAACAGTGTCTGTTTTGACAAAGTGGATATTGCACAGGATATTGGTGGCCATTGGTCACACCCTACTCTGAATACAATCAGAGTCTGACAATCATGGCTTTAGCCTGCAAACAGTGAACTGCAGTAAACACATCAGTGAGATATTCAGGTTCCCAAAGGTACAGGTGCACCAGTAAAAGTTTGATGAGCGATTAATTGAAGTACTTTGCTTCTTCCTTCTCCTCCTTTCTGTATTTCCTTCCTTTCCTTGTCTTGTAGCTAGATTCCCAAGAAAGATACACTGATTTTGGCCCTTAGTTATCATTGAGACAATCATGGACTGACAGCAACGCTGTTGCACTGCTGTTCAGTGGTCAGATTTTTATATGCTTTTTCTAGCAAATAACTGGTGCCAGTTTTTGATCATTGAAACAGAAGACATTCAGTGAGTAACACGTCAGCATTTTAAGTGCTCAATTGGCTGCGTTACTTTAACAGCACATAAATGATCACTGCATTCCATCCAAATGCTCAGCTTTTGGTGGAGTTAAACTTTATCTAGAGCACTAAAAGATGTCTCAGTGCCTAATGCTTTGAATCAGACCTTTACATGAATACATGGATGAGTTTACTTGGAAAATATTGACTGTCATTGGAAGACAGAAGCTGGACAAAATTACCAGCAAATCCTCTCAGCAAAGTGGATCTGTTGACTGTCAGCTGTCCTAGATTCTAGAGTGCAAAACAGCTCAGCCAGCTGCTGAGCATCAGTGGCTCAGAGAGCTGGGGAAATCAGACTCTGTAAGGATAATTGGGTTCCATTTTAGGGAATTTGCAAACTTTTAATATTTTAAATATTGAGTAAAGGAAAAGTAGTATGTTTCCACTGTTGTGTTTGGAGGACCAAAGGATATTTTCTTTCTCTGGTTTTAATCCCTTAGTACCTCCCTTAGGACTTTAGCATCCATGTTGCTTTACAAAGGCCTCCTTTGTTGTCCTTGAGAAGGACTTGACTTCTCCCCAACCTTCCACCCACTCCCATAAGTAGGTCAGGAGAAAGTGTACAGGGAGAGCAATGGCTCCATGTGGAAAAGCAGACTTTACTTCCAAGGATCCCAAAATCACAGTCCCACCTCAACAGCCTTCCCTCTTATCACTGGTAAGGTTTCAGTGAGGCTTGAGACTATAGCAAGAGTAAACACAGGATTTTTTATTATTATTATTTAAGTCATAAAAATCTCCCACTACTTCCTCTTGAGGATCTGTAATGTTTTCCTGCATGCCAGTAGAGGAGTGTATTTGCATCAGTAAGTCTATTTGGTTTTGTCTTGGACGCGGTGCTAAACAAAGGGATTCTTTTTCGTCCTTTTAAACTGATTTTATGGGAGGGCTCCCTTTCTTCTGAACTGATACAGATAATAATTCACATCCTCTTTGATTGCTCTTTCCAGTTCTCCACGAATAGCTGGTAACCATATTGATCTTTCAACCCTAAATTTGGACCCCATTCGGAAGGATTGTACGAGGGCTGTTCTGAAAATAATGCCTCCTGTTTGTTTATGTTGGCCGATGATCCCAGAGGCCAATGTTGATGGTATGACAGCAGAGGCTAAAATTTCTCACCAGTATTCCATTATGTTTTGTTGCTGTGTGACAGCAGGGGGGGGGTCTGACATGGAGGTGCGTATGAAGCAAAGGTGTGTGACTGAGTTCCTCCACGTGGAAATATTGATCATTCATTGATGCTTGCTGAATGTTAATGGAAACCAAACAGTGGATGGGAGCACAGTGAGGCAGTGGGTGGAGCAGTGGTGACAGTGAGAGTGAGTCGCCTCTTCTGATGGATATCTTTAGAAGTACAGCATGCAGCCTCTTGTTCATGGATGGTGAAAATGTGAAGCTCATGGTGGTGACTGTTGAAAAATAGTGTTTTCTAGCTTAGCATTTGCTTTATCAAATAGTGTTTTTGTGCTCCTTGTATCTGGTGCATTTTCTATGTAAATAAATAGGAGGTACTACTTTCAGAGTGATGTATGTAGATCAGGCATATTAATTAGGCAGCATTGTGTATACAGTTTTTTCCAAAACCACCACAGTTTCTTAGTCATCCAAACATTGCATAATAAACGTTGATATGATGAAAAGAATATTCTCCATCATATTTGCTCAGGAAAATGGGTTTGAAATGCATAAATGATAGAAAATGGGTTTGAAATGCATAAATCATGGAATCATAGAATGGACATTACTTTTCCCAAAAGCCAGAACTGAAACACTCCCCTTAAAAGTAATAAAAATTATTACAATCAGTTTAATGGAAAAGGTTTATATACAGATAATATATATTGAGGTTTTATATACACATAAAATGAAAGCAGAGAAACTGAGTTCATCCGGGTGTCAGTGAGGCTACAAAATCCAGAGCTGGAATGGAAAACACTTCAAAGAGTGTCATTCTCATGGACAACGACAAGGTGAGGGGTCCAG